TTGAGGGCCCAGAACAGGAGAGGGATACATAAATAAATAAATAATGGTTATTTATTATACAAGACGATAAAGGGATATTTTAACCATTGAGTGAAAGATTTTCACGAGATGGTTGTTTCCCTTTATCGTCGTGTATGATACAAAACTTATAGCAGAAGCCATATAAATCATTGTAAAGCTTCTGACAATTTTGAATTTACTTTAGATATCAAAAATAAAAATAGCAAGCTTAGATTCTGCCATCGATCGCGGTGGTTTCCACAGAAACAGCATTGTCATACGTTCTGAACGTCATTTTATAACATGCATTATTTTGAAATAAGAATGGCGGATGTCATTAGAATGCACAATCATTTGTTTCACTTTATCTACCATGGTCGTTAAGGTGCTCACTTTATCTAGGCTTTCCGTTAAAAAGACTGTTAAGGCAGCATCCATCCAACTAACAAATGTTGTACTTCTTATAGTCATTTTCCAATTTCACTATCTTTCTCAAAAATAAATGCGATGCATCCAAGTAGAAGTAAAACAGATTTTTTTTTAATCCTTATCATCGCAAACACAAAACTAAATGAACGATTACCAAAAGCGATAAAATTTAAACAAGAATTGCGCAATTACAAACAATTCTAAAAGGAAAAACAACACTGAAACATAAATTCAAATACAATAAACCAACTCATTAATTATTCCTTTCAAGTTTCCCGGGCCATCTTCATGTTTCCTCTTTCTTTAATCCTTTTTACGTTCTTCGATTCAAGATATTCTTCAGTTTCCCCAAAAATTCCGATCTATAATTTATTTTCGAGGTGCCTTCAAGTCCCTTAAAATAAATTGTTGCTATGAAGTTTCCCTTTGTAAAGTTCTCCTCATGTTTCTATAGATTTCCCATTAAGTTTCCCTAAAATTCGTATAACGTATTGACATCTTAACTTTGCTACCCTTGATGCAAATGATTCTGACTGAATGACTTATAAGTGCAATTAAATGCATTTACTCTGCGTGATGAATCCATGTCAATCTGTTGTTTTAATCCGACGAGTTTCCATACATAATTCGTCACCTGCAAGTACAGAATTACAAGTTCATTACTCAAAATCTCATTAATAACTCAAAACGATTAAATTCCACTTACTTATTGACATGTGCTTTCCCGGTTTGTTGTCTCATAGAACAACTAAATGTTCATTGGCTGTGAAATTACCTTTTCGAGATATTATGAAAGTAAATAAAGGATTTCCTTTGATTTTCTTTTGTTCTATATTTAGCGTCCCTGGATGGATTACAGCTTGCGCTGTTTAAATATTAATTTTCCTGCCCCGAAAATTCAATAACAGTCCTCTTGATTTGCTGTATTCGAAAAGGGAATGTATTTTGATTTTATCTGCCAAATGAGCCATGAAGCAGAGACTTCTTAATATCGACTTATAGAGATGAAGGCACGTTATGAATGAGATACGCGTCAGTTTATACTGATATTTATTTTATCGGCCAAAGTAAATTATGGAACTAATAGTGATTTATTATACAAGACGATAAATGAATGTTTTAATCATCGAGTGAATCAACTTTCACCAGATAGTTAGTTTCCTTTTATGGTCTTGTATAATACCAGACCTTATTTTATAGCAGACGCCATATAAATCATTATACAACTTCTATAAATACTGAATTTAATTTCGACATGAAACATAGCAAGTTCTCTCGTCGTTTCCATGGTATTTTTTTCAGTTTTGAACTTCATTCTATTTATTTTATTTCGTGCTCTGCGTCCTATATTTAATAAGAATGACGGATGTCATTAGAATGCAAAATCATTTGATTCACTTTATCTACCCTTGCCATTAAACGCGTTATCTACTCTTACAGTTAAAGAGAGGATTGGATTAATAAATATTCGCTATGATTAAAAGATTAACCCGGAGGACGCAACAAGGGCGGTTTGTGAGGTTTCATTAATTTCTCGACCAACTTGGCATAAATTAGAGAATATAACGTATCAAGTGTAAAATTATCTGTAGAATCCAAAAATGTACCAGGGTTAAACCATTTAAATTTTGAAGTTTAGCGACCGCTAATTATGCCGTAGTTACATGGCTGGCTTTCCTTTGGTTTACACACGGTATAACAGATGTGCATACAGGGTGCTGAGAAAATCGTGCCAAGGTTCCTGATTTTTTAAATGCAAACGCCAATTTTTTTAAATGAACTTCCTTTTTCTCAATTCAAGAAAAAAATGTAAATAAGGGCGTTTTGTTAAAATACATCTAAAGTGAACGGTGTGACGTGAGTTAAAATGGCACTGTTTTTTCTCAAAACCCGCCGCAAAAACGGCCAGCCAGCTCAGGGATGTGAAAGTAAAAAAGAATGAGGTACCTAACAGTGGTTATATTTCGTTGGGCATACAAATCTTCGTACCTTCCTCGTAAGGTTCAGAACCACACAGTTTCTTTAAATGCTTAGCTTTCTATAACACTAGGAAGGTATCCAGGAAGTAACAAGTAAAACTGATGTAAACGTTGACGTGGGAATAGAACTCTATTCCAAATGCTTCTTCGCTAGACCCTAGTTCTCTTCACAAGAAAAAGAAAGGGAGAGGGTCTTTGAACTCCCCTGCTATTCCAAGAACACCTCCAATTTTCAGAGTCAGTGAAATATCTAGTAGCCACACTCGACAAAAAACTGAACTGGAGCAAACATATGCAGCTCAATGCTAAAAAATCAAATAGGGTTTTCTGGAAAAGTCGCCTTGCAATTAGGAGACTTTGGGGACCATCCCCGAAGGCTGCTTTGTGGCTGTACACTGCCATGATAGGATCTACGCTCTGGTATGGAGTAATTATCTGGTGGTCTACCAGACTAGATCTCCACGTGAGAGATCAGACCACTCTGGCATCCTTGCGTCAGAAAAATAAGGGGTTGTTGCATACCAGAGGTACTTAGGTGGGACATTCTCAATTCTCGAATTCTGAGCGAAGCGATTGCCCATATTTGAAGGGCGATCGGACTCACTTACTCCCCAATTCATATTAGGGAAGAATAATTACGAACATTTTCATCTTCACGAATAGTTCTGATGAAACAATAGAAGGAAAATGCACTGGTATTTACTCCAAAGTCGAACGACGCTATCAGTGAGGTAGTACAAATGGCCCCAATTTGAGGCCTAGATAGGCTGGACCCTGTCAACCCTCCTATCGTAATTCAGAATCCAGAATGCACTTAATTATTCTTAGACTCTGTATAAATAGAACATAGAGCTTCAAGTTAAGCTCTGATGTAGAAGAAATGTCTAGGTCAATGGAGCTTGTGTAAGTAGTAAGACTCAAGAAGCTGCTCACTAAAAAATATGGTAATTGGTGTAATATATGAAATTTTTGTATAAAATTATACGCATAAAGGTGATGGCAAGTCAAGTACTAAAGACGCATTCGCACGGATTTGAATGTAATTAACTGAGGATTGTGACGATAAGTACGGGTATAGAAACTATGCGAGGTGGGTTAGGAAAACTTTTGCGTGAAATTAAGTACGTCTATTGCTTTGAAACAGTTTTGAAAGCAAGTTTCTCATCTGCTCTTTAATTAGATTAATTGTGCGGTTTTAGTTTAAGTCTGCACATGATTGTAATTAATGTGAAAGAAAAAAAGTAAAATACCTATATAATCGATTTGATCAAATTATTTAAATAATAAAGCGTTAAATTTCATGATGATTTGTATAGCAATCTGAGGTTCAAAGGTTAAAATTTATACTTTAATCCAGGAAACCACTCTCCCCCTTCAAGACCACTTCTATCTAGTGCGCTGCTCCATCGGCCTGCATTCTCCGAAAGTGGGCTATGTTTCTACCCGGTTTCGTGATGTCTGGAAACATTTCCAGCCATATACCTAATAGTGTAATAATCAGCTAATCATAGATGCCATTTCCTGGGGGCGAACCGTAAAACATACCTTCATATAGGTTAATATATTTAAATTTTAAAAAAACTCAAGGAATTCAAATTTCAATATTGATATCTCCTATCCCCATCCCCATCGGGAGACTGTGACGACCACTTCTCTCTTGTGCACTTCTCTATCGGTTATCCTCCGGCAGCCAGTCCACCCCGATTTCACTACTCCTTCGTTCTGTCGTGGTATGGAAACTATTTCAATTCAAATTTGCTCAATTCGGTTTTCCAATCAATATACGTAGTATAGCAATCATAGATGAGATGAACCGACAACTTGTCTGACGCTTTCCTATACACCTTCAAAACTTTTGAGACTGTATCAAATTGGTTTTTTTTTTCTTCAAACGGCCTCAATTTCCGTTGGTGAATCCTGCGATTAACTTAATCCCAACTTCGGCACATATCTACGAAACTTATATTTGTCAGCCCGCAAGGAACTTTCGGCACTTAATTTTTTACGTCTGCATTAAATTTTCTGTTGACGCTGCATGTTGAGATAATTGCCACGGAATTCTTTTAATTTCCCCGCGGAGTAGCCGCCTCTGTATTATTTATGAACCCATGCTTTATCCAAATCGTCAAGCGAACCTAATTAAGACAGTAGGTACGCCTACGCGCGCCCTCCTTTTCAGTTTGACAAACTTTTTTTCCAATACATTTTTCTGCCAGCTGCGTATTGATTATCAATCTGAATTAGTGTACATTGAAATTTGATTAAATTACTGCAAGCACAAGGGGAGTTTCCCGTTTGAATGCAATTAAAACCTAATTATATATGTCTCGTTTTCCTGCCATTATTTCATATTTCAATACACGATTTTCCTTTTAGCTGGCCAATCTCGCGTTTTCAATTTAATTCCATATTGGAACCAATTACATTTACCAATTGACGTTATCAATTGTATGAGAAATTATAGTGATGTAAAAAGGGGGTCCCAGTGAAACAGACGTACGTGTCCGCAGCAGCAGCTACAACTTTGTTAATTTTATTTTGTCAAAACGTCATGTTCCAACAGCCAAATTGATATTTTCTTTTTCGTTTCAGATATTGTCGAATTATCAGACTCGATCAGTGATGAACAACGAGAATATGTCACTTAAGCGCCTGTTCCAATTACAGCAGAAGAAACTGATATACGATTTACTTAAATAAATCGACCTGATGTTAAAGTCGCTAAGTTCGGAATCCGATAAAAGAGAATGGAAGCGTCGCTTCAGTTTAAAGGAAGGTCGGAAGCGTGATACGGTAAGTCCCTTTTTTCCTTCCTCAAGATAAGGCGAACAAAGAAATCTGTTAATCGAAAATAGCAATTACGGCCACTGGCTATTTTTACCCACAGTAAAATTGAATCTGTTTTCACATACGATAGCATTTATGTCGTGTCATGCAATAAACAGTTACCTTCGTGGCTTTTGTTTGGGTCCGTTTTACTTCCGGAAGATAACATGTGCTAAACGTGTAAATTTAAGTGAGAAAATGGCACTTTTTTTAACGCGGGCAGTCGTTAGTGATTTTAACACATTTTGTTTACAATTTATCTTCGTTATTTACAAATTACTCGTTGAATGTTAGGGGCGTGTGTTGTGTATCGAATTAAACCTCAATTAAGTGAAGTGTTGTACGTGTAGCTCAAATTCAATTATCTCTGAAATATGCTTTGCAAAATTTCAATTATTGGCAAACTGCACGTGCCATTGCATTATCCTAAATTCCACCTTGTGTAACCACTTCCACGGAATTTACATTAATTTTGTAAAAACATAATATGTTGTTATAATCATGAGGAAGAAACTCTATAAAAATGGTAATTTGTACAACTATCTTTGAAAGTGGTACTTTTTTTCATGAATTTGCAGTTTGATTAAGGAGGGCGAGGGCCTATAAATAACTTATTTCAAATGGGACGCGGGTTACGATATAAAATGACGTTTAGAACATAATTATGATGATAATGCTGTTTCTATGGAAACTACGGCAACGGCAGAACGCTAAGCTTACTATTTTTGACGTCTAAAATCAATTCAAAATTGTCAAATGCTTTACAATGATTTATATGGCTTCTGCTATAAATTAACTTCACTTATTACTGGGACTAAAAAGTGGAACAGATTTGGAAGCATAGGTACCCTAAATTACGCGCGTTTGTAAAAGCTTCAACCAAAGGATAGGTACAAGCCAAAGAAATGTTCTGCATTTACAGAAAGCGACTTAGAAAGATTATTTATTTCACCCAGATGACAGTTTCAAAAGTCATACTTGAAGTATCGTTACTTAGCAACTTTAAAGCACGTGTGTTTTAAAGGCCTTTTTTCGCACGCATTTGAGTGTTTAAAACGGAGATTGTGATTCAGGTATAATAAAAAATAGTTATTTATATAACAAGATCGCGAAGTTCAATTACGCGCATTGAGACTGAAGGTCAAATGCGCGAAATAACTTCGCGCTAGCGTTATATACAATATTTTTTTACAACTGAACCGATTGTTAATTAAAATTGCTGTTTAAGTTCAACTTTGTCACGTGCGCGAAATACTTTTTTTCACTGTTTACGATTTCGCGCACGTTGTCAAGAGCAACCTTACTTATTAATTAACCGTTTAAAAATCTAGTACTTCGCGTTTCGAAATCCGTCAGAAAATGACAGGTTTTTTTAACAGTTGTAGAAAAAAGTTATTTTTTTACAATCTACAACTCTCCAATTGAACATTTTTTTATGAGGTTGTTACCGCTGATTTTTTCGCTGAAAAAATAGGGATCGACCATATTTTTATCGTAAGTCTCGCACCCTTTCACGCTTACACAACAACCACCCACGTAGCGGCCAACACGTGCAAACTAAGTGCCCGAAAACGATACTGACCTTCCATAACCAGCACAGGGCACTAGCGAAGACTCTCCATTCCATTGAAACCATTAGAACAAACTTAAGTAGGTAAGGAACTCGCTCGGGTCGGGTTCTGTCTCTAAGCTTCACCATCTCGTATGCGCGTATGTACGATGGTGCAAGTTAAGGAGATACTCCCAGGAGGAATTCCGAAGAGGAGAAACTGAAGCTTTAAGCGATTCTTCGGGTGCGGCAACCCTACCGTGATCGGGAGCCAGTGCTCCAATTGCCTACCTCGATACGGGAGCCCAAGGGGACGCACTATCCAAACAGAGTTTCTGATAATCCCCGGTGCCGAGAATGGTACTTTCCTTGGAGTAGATTTTATCGACAACGCGGAGATTAAAATAAATCTCGCTACCTTTAATACCTCACTCCCGTCTACCACACCCACAATCAAACCCAGTAGAGGGAAGGAACCGGGATCTAAGTGTTATCTTTGAAATGGAATAATGCGCAGAGAGTGAAGACAAAGATTTAATAATGAAAAACGAAAATTCATACATTACAAAACAAACGACATTTCTTATTATAGCGACTACATGCTTCATTCGTATATCTAACACTGTTGTCAAATATCCTAAGATCTAACTTGCAGGTTTGCCACATCATCATTATTTAACAGTTTAACACTAAGTACCACCCATTCTTTTCGCAATGAACATCACGCCTTGCCAGACCACGGACCCATAAGAAAACGAAGCCGCCCATGAACTATGAACCGGAACCGGAACGTTCTCTTGTCCAGTAGCGCATACCCTATTAAAAATATTGATATTTTATAGTAGTATAGTGATACTTTTGATTGCGAACTCGAAAAACATTAATTTTACCCAAAAACATACCTAGAACCTATAGTAGGGGAGCTAGCACGAAATCCACTGAACGAGAATGATCAAAATTTTAACCGATGGAGTTCCATTTTGCCCTATCAGAGTATGCTAAAATCGATCGTCTGCCGCCTGAGGTCATATGACTTAAGGCGCTGCGGGTACTTCTTGCGGTACCAATTCTGAAAGGTTGTTTTTCGAGAAAATAAGTTATACACCAAATGAAAACGTTGATAATAGCTCTTAAAAACATATTGAAAAAAATCGCGCGCATTTGATAACTCCGAAAAAAACAATTCTTAGTCGGTTTTTCACGAACTTTCTACAGATATAACTAGGTTACGGTTAGACGAATGAAGCTGATTTTTTCTACAGACTGATGATAGGTACTACTAATGACTTAACGGTGTTTCGTTTTTAAATTTTTTCTCTAATTATAAGATTATCTTATTAATAAGATATCTTATAATTAGAGAAAAAATTTAAAAAAGAAACACTGTCATAGTCATTGGCGGTGCCCATCATTAGTCTGTAAAAAAAATCAGCTTCATTCTTTCAACGGTAACCTAGTTATATTCGTAGAAAGTTCGTGAAAAACCGGCTAAGAATTGTTTTTTTACGGAGTTATCAAATGTGCGCGATTTTTTTCAATATTTTTTTAAGAGCTATTATCAACGTTTTCATTTGGTGTATAAGTTATTTTCTCGAAAAACAACCTTTCAGAATTGCTACCGCAAGAAGTACCTACCCGCAGCGCCTTAAGTCATATGACCTGAGGCGGCAAACGATCGATTTTAGCATACTCTGATAGGGCAAAATCGAACTCCATCGGTTAAAATTTTGATCATTCTCGTTCAGTGGATTTCGTGCTAGCTCCCCTACTACTACATCTACAGCAGTTTCTGTTTTAAATAACGCTACGTAAGATTTGCAGCGTTCATTTGGCAAATCAGTATTTGACATTTTGAATACGGCCAGCCTTTTTGGGTACGCAATAGTGTTCTGTTCCCAAGAGAAGCCCTTCTTTAACTTTCAACTTAATTTGTTTTATTAAAAAAATTTGCCAAATTTGCTTTTTACTTTATGACTGTTATTTCTTATAATAATATTCATGCGTAATTTATTCAACTTCACTTGTGGATTACTATAATAGGCATCAGCGGCAAGATCTCGGTTCTCTTGGGCATATTTCATTCATTCGTGAAAAAACAGGATAAACATGCACATTCGCCCTAACTTCTTCAAGAATCAATAATTCGAGATCCAAACTAAACAGCAACAACTTGTACAAGTGACTCCCAAGGAAGCGTAAACTGCCAATTCTTAAAACTTTCTCATTTTTATGCGGACTTCGTATAGACAAGTGTTTAAGAAATGCGTAAATTATGAAATATCGAAGTTGTCGTTCCAAACTTGTCTCAAAACTTTTATTTTACTTTAATCAGTTTGCGCAAAGTACACAATTTTTTAATACAAATATTGCAAAGCGAACTCTTGTTCCAAATAATTTCAAAAATACACACAAAATTATGGGCGTCTATAAACCCATTGGCGTACTTACTCATTCCCCCACGAGTTTGTTTTTTTCGTATTAAAGAAAACGCGAAATCAACAATGATGCGAAACTGATTATTTATTTCTTAATGAAAAGTACTTTTTTCTACAACTGTCAAAAAAACCTGTCATTTTCTGACGGATTTCGAAACGCGAAGTACTAGATTTTTAATCGGTTAATTAATAAGTAAGGTTGCTCTTGACAACGTGCGCGTAATCGTCAACAGTGAAAAAAAGTATTTCGCGCACGGGACAAAGTTGAACTTAAACAGCAATTTAATTAACAATCGGTTCAGTTGTAGAAAAAATATTGTATATAACGCTAGCGCGAAGTTATTTCGCGCATTTGACTGATATTTTAACTCGGTTTCGCCTCGTCAAAATACCTTCAGTCTCAATGCGCGAAATTGAACTTCGCGCTCTTGTTATATAAATAACTATTTTCTAAAACTGTCAAAAAAACCTGTCATTTTCTGACGGATTTCGAAACGCGAAGTACTAGATTTTTAAACGGTTAATTAATAAGTAAGGTTGCTATTGACAACGTGCGCGAAATCGTCAACAGTGAAAAAAAGTGTTTCGCGCACGTGACAAAGTTGAACTTAAACAGCAAATTTAATTAACAATCGGTTCAGTTGTAGAAAAAATATTGTATATAACGCTAGCGCGAAGTTATTTCGCGCATTTGACTGATATTTTAACTCGGCTTCGCCCCGTCAAAATACCTTCAGTCTCAATGCGCGAAATTGAACTTCGCGCTCTTGTTATACAGTGTGTAAAGCGATGGGGTATACAAGAGGGAATTATTGATTTATGAAAAAAATGTATACTTCATGATATTTTTTGCTTGATTTGAAAGTACCAATAACGTTTCGATTGTTTGCGGTTTGATAGCAATAAGCCGCGTACAGACCGGATTCCAACGCCAAGCCAACGAATCCAAGCACATGTGACGTTGGCGTTTGTCGTTGGAAACG